ATAACAATAATAATAACAACAATAATAAAGATTAGTTAGATCTTACAACCGTGTTTCAACGTTTTCCACTAATTACGATTACGAACTTTTAATTTTTTCGATACTAAGAGATAATAATTAGAGAATTTAAGAGACTAAGAGAATTATAGAGAATATAAGAGATTAAGAGAATTATTAGAGAATATAAGAGTTAAGAGAAGAGATTGTGAATTCGTGATTTGGAATGAAGAATTGTGGAGCTATTTATAGAAATTTAGGGGAAGAAGACTGTTGGAAATGGTGGAAGACGTTGAGTAACAATCTCAAATTGAGACGTTGAGCAACGGTCATGCAATTGGCACGCGGGCCGAACATGGGCTGGCTCGCGGGCTTGGGAGCGGGCTTTGTGCCGTGCCATGCTGGAAATTGTGAATCTCTGAACATGGCACGGCCCATGGCCCACCTGTCAACCACCGTGCCGTGCCGGGCCACCTAACGGGCCGTGCCGTGCTGCCCGTCGTTCACCAGGCCGTGCCGTGCTGCCCGCGGGCTGCCCTGGCCGTGCACACCTTTAATACCTCCAAATATATTTGTTTATATATCTTCTCTAATTATGCTGTCAACAACTAAATTTATGATGTTAGGCCAAACTGAGGTTAGCTATGGCGCGCGCATTAGCTGCCCTAGCATTAGCAAAATCGCTAACTTATTTGTATTTAACTGATTTGTATTAACTAAGATCTCTATTACCATAAGTGTTCATACCCAATTCTTTTTCGGCCCGACATAGATCAAGGTAATGGGCCAAACCATTGTTGATTATCTTTAGTCTCTTATTCTTTACACAAACCATAGTTTTATTTAAGAAGATAGTGATTTATTATTTCAAGATTAATATTAGATCCTATGAAAGGTTGAATTGAAATAGGATACTGAGTTGAGCTAAATTGAATTGAAAATAAATCCAAAAGAACAAGACCTAATTATGTGCTTGCTAAAGATGTAGTGCACTAAAGACCTCTTGATGGAGTACCCTAGCATAGTAGTCTAGCACACAATAATTTGTGAACTCGACCCTATCTTGTGCTGAATCTTCACACTACTATCAAATTCATTTCTTAACCTGTTTGATTATAAGATACAAGTAATTAGGATCCTTAATTACACACTATACAAAGTACAACCAGTTTTCCATAGAAAATTATTGTGTTAAACCGAAATGCTATGATCTGAACCTGCTCAACGCCATCTATTTAATTATTAATACATTCATTTTAGGCATAGTGAGGATTCAAAAATTTTCAACATAGAGAAGAACCGTCGGTATAAGCTAAAAGTTTGCCATGTTCTTGATTTTGGGAAGGTGGGGCTAAAGTTTTTGAAATAGATGAGATTCATGAGAAGAAGCTAAGGAAGAACACCTTTTATAGCTTTTGGCAGTTGGCTGCCTTTTGTCGTTATAAATCTCATCTCTTGGACTCTTTCTTGACTAAAGACCTTGATTACCACATAGATAAAAGAGTGATGGACGTGATTTGATTTTGAAGTAGGAACACGCTATAATTAACCAACCCCACTTTTCACTAAGCCTTTAATAATACTTGTAGATAAATAAATATCATCCACTCTCTACAATCCTCTTTTTTTTTTTTTTTTTTTTTTTTTTTTTTTTTTTTTTTTAATCTTGACAACATACGAAGTGGCATAATTATGTTGTGTCTTTTTTTTTTTGAGTGAGGGTTGAGTCTTATTTAATCAGTCATAATAAGTAGTTTATTTATATGTTATTTACTAATATGAAATTATAGATACTTCGTATTTATGATTAAATTAATACATTGACACACGTGCACAATTAAAATAGAAACAGAGAGCAAGGGATAACTCAAGTGGTTAGAGTTTCCCTCCCAATTACAGGTGATCCTCGTGACTCTCTAAAAACCAAAAACAGTCAAAATAGAAACAAACATTTGGAAAAGAGCCTCAAAGGGAGATAGTAACTAAAAGGTTTTTTTTTATTTTTTATTTTTTTTTTTATTTTCAACCACGAATCCCCAACCAAGTTCTTAGGGCTTGTTTAGTTCACCTTATTTTTGCTTGTATGATCTAATATGATCTGATCAGATTTAACTAAACAAACCTTATGTGTACAATAAATTATAAAGAAAAAAATAACGCGTAATAATATGTATTTTTATAAATATATTTTTTTCATAATTTTTTTCATTATGAAATTAAAGATATTTAGCAATAAAAAACTGCACATAAATTGATCATTTGATTTGAACTTATTTTTTCTAATCTGATTTTTTTTTTAATATGATATGATATGAACTTATTTTTTCTGAAATAAGTAAAATTAAGTTGAACTAAACAAGGCTTTAATGCTCAAGGGTTGTGCAATTCCCCACCCCCTTTTTCTATTATAGGTGCATAATATATCGTGCACTAGTACGAGTGCATCTATAATAACAAAAATGTCATTTTATTAACTACCAATCACGATTTAAGTATTGAATACTCAATTTTGTGCACTCTCCCTTTTCTTACGAAAAATAAATATAAAATAAATGATACTTTCACATAACTCTTCTCAACTTTCAGTTTCAACATCATTTTCCTTTATAGAATATGTGATAGATGTTGTGCATTAACACGAAGTCTTTTTTTTTCCTCAAACCCTTAATTCTCAAAATTTTTTACTCCAACTCTTAATCTTCCTTTTTTATTTTACAAAAATAAATAAATATTTATCATTTTTATGTTTTGCAAATTAAATGTGGGTACATTCTAGTTTAAAAGAAAAAAAAAAAAAAGAGTAGATAATACATCTCCCAAAGTCCCAACAGAGTATCTCACGAGTAGATATTGCGGTTGCCAATCTCAAGCCCAATCATAGGTCCTCCCCATTTTAAATACGTTTATATAACCAAATTACTATTGTTAATTTAGTATTAGTATTAGTTTAGTAGGATAACCATATTGTAACTTTATTGGTTGGATAAACAGGGAATGTTAGAATTCCAAAAGAAGGGTCTGAGTGGATATTGTGTGACAGCTAAATTGGGTGACCCACTAGACTACCCTAAATCACTTCAAATTCTACTTAGATTACCGAGAAATTTTATCTAATTCCTAATCTCCTCTTCACTCTTGCTCATCTTTCCCATTACTACTCATATTGTGGAGAGTTCATTTAATTAGAGATTCCTTTTGAAAGATCATCTTGTTGGTGAAGTTTTATCATAAAACTCTATTGCAATGGAATGAGTAGTGCTTTCATATTGGGACAATTGTTTTTTGCACGCACGATAAATTCCTAACAATATTTTCCTTCATATATGTATTTTAACATTAGTTCAATTCCCCTTAATTATACACTCTTACTTTCAATTATAGTGTTGAGAGCTTATGACACGTCCTATGATCTACTATGTAACTCAACTATACAATTATAATTAGAGACTTTTTTCGAAAACACCGCATTTAGAAACCACATCATGCCTTTAACTAAGCCACACTAAGCAACCAATTAACATGTTTAACTTCATTAATATTGTAATAGGTTGAAACTGTTATGCAGCTCTCCAGGATTTTTGATTGCCTAAATTGTCATATAATCACACAATATCTCCATTTACGTATTGACCACAACCCTGCCTTCCCCCGCCACCCCTTGCAACATCTTAAACTTCATGATACCAATATTGGTGAATAGTACATGTTATGCCCTTTGATATATACCAACCGTTCAACCTTAGGTCAAGTTGGATTGTTTGAGCTTCTATACCTTCAAATCGGGTTATTGGGCCAAGTTAGGAAATGCAAGCTCTACCTCAACTATATGACATTAGAAGTATCGCATAAACCTTGGAATCATTCTTACAATATGAGACAATTGTTCTTCACGCACACATAGGAACAATTAGCTACCTTATGTGATTAATTAGATAAGATTGGTTTTATAGTCTATCACACTCTTACATGAAAAGCCTTTGGTTTAAAGTGCAAATGTATAAATTTGTGACCTTATTGTTACACTGATTCTTGACATATTTCGTATCAAAAAGCTAACTTAACAAAAAATTATGCTAATGATTTTATAATAGAATTAATTTTTATACTCAATCACTTAAGACGACTAAGATGGAGTTTTAATTTAAAACACGCTACATGCTTAATAAGTTAGGAAAACATCAGATATCATTTGATATATACTTAAAATATCACAAAAACGACATCGGTCAAATTGGGAAATTTATTTATCACACCAAAATACTGTCTAGCATACAACATCTAAGAAGAGACAACACCAACCCTGTAACAAATTCGGTGCAAGGGCATAACTCACATAAAACTAACCTCAAAAGAGTGGTTTACAGATAGCTACCGCATCAATATTTAGCTTTAATCAGAAGAACTTCCAAATAACTATACAACAGGAATATTTCTAACGTCACCCTTTTCTAAGAATATAAACCAAATGCATGATTGAAGGAACTTACCTTTTCTAATCTCTACCCATACCCTTACCACCTTTTTTCAATTCCATTAATAATTTTTTTTACAATAGTAGGTTTTGATGGCATCATTATTTTTGCATTGTTTATGTTCGCTTTTAGGAGTTGCATAAGATAGTGATTACGTGATGTAGTTGAAATTTGATGCTAAGTAGAGGTGTTAAAAAATCCACTCAACTGAACGTATGGACCTAATTTGAAAATGGCCTAATCTACCTGGGTAATATTACATTGTTTCTTTTCGTTTGTCAAAACAGTCATATAAGACGATGATAAGTAATGCTGATGACATAATATAAACGAGATTTGATCCCGGACATTTATAACAAAAGTATTACAAAATATATAGTATAAGACCCTGTTCTTTTGAGCTTCTGGGGTCTGCTTTGATGAGCCTTGCTCTACTTAGTATTAATAATTTGCTTACACATGCTCTCCTCAGCTCTGTTCTGCTAACACCTGTTCACACCCGCTCTGCTCAGAAGCTCAAAAGAACAGGGTTTACTTGTATAATGTTAGTATAATGTTAAAATTTATTCTATATGATCACTTTTAAAAAGAGTAAAAAAAAAAAAACAGTGATATAAATGGAATTCAATCTCGAGCATTCCCACCACCAACATTATTGTATTGTTAAATAATTATTCCTTTCAATAGCTTTGGTAAGACTGTGGCAGGCATGTTGGTTCCCTCTCACACTTTGGCCATCTTTCTCATCTCCTTTTCTCTCTTTCTCTCACACTAAAGCCTCTTTTTGCCTTTGGGACCTCCTGACATGGTGTGTCACATTGTCAGAATTTGCACACTCTTTGTACTTCTGGAGACCATCAACACTCTGAATTTGCACTCTCATTCACCTTTCTATTTTACACTAAATTGATTTTTTTTACCTCAAACTACTTTCCACCTGCTCTCAATCTCAGCTGGGTTTTTCTAATTTTCTGGGTTTATCTTATTTTGGGTACCTGTATATCAGGTATTCGACGTATTGCCTCAATGAAATAGTTTAAGATGAGGCAATTTTTTCTGGGTTTTATTGCCTTTTTCTTCTTGTGTAATTCTTCTGCTGCTCTTCTTACTCCTGATGGAGTTAATTATGAAGGTAATAATGGAATTTAATGTGATTAGTGGAGTAATTAGTGTTCTTAATCATATGCTGATGAGTTTAATATATTTGTAATTTTGGTTTAGTTCAAGCTTTGATGGATATTAAGGACTCTTTGAGGGACCCACATGGTGTTCTTGATAATTGGGATAGAAATGCAGTTGATCCATGCAGTTGGGCTATGGTTTCTTGTTCTTCTGAAGACAGAGTTGTTAGTCTGTAAGCTATCTTTCCCATTCTTCTTCTCTTTCTAACCCAAAAACCGAGTATTTGAATTAGCGGTTTTAGTCTGAACCTTAAAAAACACGCTTTGTGCTCCCGATTTTACATTGACGGTATAACAGTAATTAATTCCGTACCAATCAATACCAATGGGAGATTATCATTATCTAGAGTTAATATGATATTGATTGTGTAACATACAGGGGGATACCAAGTCAGGGATTGTATGGGACACTTTCACCAAGTATTGGGAACTTGACAAATCTCCAGACTGTGTAAGTGCTGAAGCATTAATTATGAGAGAGAAAAACATAGGACATTTATATTCATGTCATAAAATAATAATAGACTTAATTAATGTTTCATTCTTTGTTCATTAATTTTGACAGGCTTCTGCAGAATAACAATATATCTGGACATATTCCTGCTGAGATAGGAAAGTTGTCAAAGCTTCAAACACTTGATCTTTCTGTTAATCACTTCAGAGGAAGAATTCCCTCTTCTCTTTCCCATTTGAAGATCCTTCATTACTTGTATGTGATCAACATTACATATTTAGTTGTACCTACTCTATTCGTCGGGATTTAGTTGTCATGTTAGTAATTCGAATTACACTATCTACGTGATTAATGATTCCGGGTAGAGGGGTCGTATCATAATGACTTGTAAACTTATGGTAATCTGCTTCATTTTTGTGAACAGGAGGTTGAACAACAACAGTCTCTCAGGAGAAATTCCCCTATCTTTAGCTGACATGAGCCAGCTTACATTCCTGTATGTTTCTTTCTACTTCTTTAATCATGAATTCATGATTTTGTTTGTAAACTAAGCTAACTTACAATCCTTTTTTTTTTTTTTTTGGATGTTCTAGAGATTTGTCCTACAATAATTTGAGTGGTCCTGTGCCAAGATTCCAAGCAAAAACATTCAGGTGAGAGTGACATTGCAGTGATATTAGTTTATACTATCTATTTTGCCTCCTAAGGAGTTTTGTGATTAATTAAATTAATTACATGTATCATTCATTAATCCAAAATTCTATAATAGTGTTGTAGGAAATCCTCAAATTTGTGCCACAGCGAGCGAGAAAGATTGCTATGGAATTGCTCAGTTACCTCTTTCTTTCAATGTGAACAATTCAGCTAGTGAGTACTAATTTCTTAATTTGTTGCTAAATAATTTTTAAATTCTAAAATTTATTAATTTCCTTAAAATAATTATAGTTATGAAAGAAGAATTCTAGATAGCAACTGTGAGAACGTAAGGAATTTTCTTGTTATGAAGGTCCTCAGGCAGCTCAAAAACCTAAAGGTCATGCTAAGCTTGCCTTGGCCTTAGGTTCAAGTTGCCTTCTGATCTGTGGGTTTGGATTCATCTTATGGTGGCGGTACAAGCACAAACGACAGATGTTCTTCGATGTTAAAGGTAATGAAAGACTCGATTATACTACATGTCAATTAAGTACATATGTAATCTTGGAGGATTCTGTCACTTATTCCACGATACAATTTTTATCATTACAGATCGACATTATGAAGATGTTTGCCTTGGAAACTTGAAGAGATTCCATTTTAGGGAACTTCAAAGTGCAACAAACAACTTCAGTACCAAAAACATAATTGGGAAGGGTGGTTTTGGGATTGTGTACAAGGGACACCTTTCAGATGGTAGTATTGTTGCAGTTAAGAGGCTCAAGGATGGCAATGCCATTGGCGGGGAGATCCAATTTCAGACTGAAGTTGAAATGATCAGTTTGGCTGTACATAGGAATCTGTTACGCCTAAATGGCTTTTGTATGACTGCCACAGAGAGGCTTTTGGTCTACCCTTACATGTCGAATGGAAGTGTCGCTTCTCGTCTTAAAGGTAAAGGGAATTACGCTTAGTCTTGCTTTCTTTTCACCTTAGATAAATAAGTTTACATTAATTCCAACAAGGACTACCTAATCTCAATATATTACTGTACAACATATACAGCTAAGATACGTCAAGGAAAATTAAGATGAAAAGAATGAACTTTAATCTTTCATTATGTTTTGGTGCAAACAAATTTGCATTACCTTCACTCCTGTCAATGTTTGGGAATATGCTAATTTTGTCTATTCACAACAATTGACCATACAGCAAAGCCAGCTCTAGATTGGGGTACCAGAAAACGAATTGCATTAGGGGCAGCTAGGGGACTAATATACCTTCATGAGCAATGTGATCCTAAGATAATACACAGGGATGTTAAGGCAGCTAATATCCTGCTGGACGATTGCTGTGAGGCCATTGTCGGAGATTTTGGTTTGGCAAAGCTATTGGACCACCGGGATTCACATGTCACTACAGCTGTTCGGGGCACCGTGGGTCATATAGCTCCAGAATACCTCTCTACTGGACAATCTTCAGAAAAAACAGATGTATATGGATTTGGAATCCTGCTCCTAGAGTTAATAACTGGTCAGAGGGCACTAGATTTTGGAAAAGCAGCAAACCAGAAAGGAGTTATGTTAGATTGGGTAAGCAAATTTAATTTAAGGAATGTAGTACAACACTTTTAAAAAAAAAATGATATTCCTCTAAAATTTTGGCTGTCTTTGCAGGTGAAGAAGATTCACCAAGAAAAGAAGCTAGAGATTATGGTAGACAAGGATTTGAAGAATGAGTATGACAGGATTGAGCTTGACGAAATAGTCCAACTAGCTCTTCTATGTACTCAATTCCTCCCTAACCAGCGACCAAGGATGTCAGAAGTGGTAAGGATGCTCGAGGGAGATGGTCTTGCAGAGAAATGGGAAGCTTCTCAAAGAGCTGATTCCACAAGGAGCAGAGGCAACGAGTTCTCTTCATCAGAGCGGTACTCTGACCTCACTGACGATTCTTCGTTGCTTGTTCAAGCAATGGAGCTCTCTGGACCTAGATAATAGTTCTTTTCCAATCAGAGAACTACTATATATTTTGCATAGAGTTAGAGATCAAGTTAATTCAACAAGATCGTGGAATCAGACGATCTGGTTTTCTTGTGCATCATCGTAAATTAGTAAGTGAGCTCAGCAGAGTCTGTCTATAACTTGGTATTGTACAGAATCAGAATCCAGAAATAGAACGAGGAATTCAGGTGTGACCCACTTTCTTGACTGCATGAAGAATCTTGTTAAAGAGTGCATCAAGTTCATTAGAATAGTGCAATGTGAAAAAGGGTTCCTGTTTTTTTTTACCTTACAATTTGTGATATCCTAGACTTGTAAGCATATAGAGTGGCATTTTGAAAGGTGTAATTTCCCAGCCATACGTTAAAGAAGAGTGTATAATTATATTTATATATTCGTATTTGGTAGCTTCCTTTAATGAAGATACTGCCAGATTGATTGTGACTTAGTTGTCTCATGTTTGGGCATCTTTTGAAATTTTGCTGTTTCGAAATGATCGACAATGACTATAGATTAGACTCAACAAAGGTTGCTCCGCAATTTCAGTGTGAATTCAAAGAACATGCACAAGAGCCACTTAGCCTGGTTAGTTTGGTACTCAGCAAAGAGACAAATACTATACATTGCTGATTTACTAAAGATTGTAGTTAAACTAAATGACAACTTAGTATAATGTTTCACTAGAGATTCAGCAATGATTACAGATTGGTCTGAACAAAGGTTATTTAACATGACAATGTTTTCGACGCCAAATCTTGATGTAAAACTACTATGGAGTATGATAGCTGGTTTAAACCAAAACATACATCAAAATGTATCCATCTCACAAACAAGCTGCAGAGCCTGCTAGAAATAAGGCAGTCCTACACCTCAACTATTAATAAAATGATGTTTAACTTGATCCTTAGAAATCGCTCTACTTACATGTGAGCTCATCTACAATGCATTAACAATGAACCAATGAAGTCTTAGCTTAATTAAGGTGAGAGACAGAGAGAGTTCGGGGAGCCTGCGTTAACCTAGGTATAGGCATGAGGCATCCTCTCTGGACGGTTTTGCTTAGCTGGTGAGTTGGTGAAATATTTTCCGTATGCCTTGGTAGATTTTCGGTGCATCTTTCTCAAAAACAAAAAAAAAAAAAAAAAAAAAAAAGTAAAAAAATTGTCAGAGTTAAAGTCGATAATTCATCTGTACATTGTCAAGGAAGGGTCTCATCGGTAGTGAGGTTGTCATGTTGCCTGACAAGGGGTGGCTATAATTGTGGTGGTGGCTGGAATGGTTGTTGGTTAGGCAAAAGGAGAGAATTAAAGGTGGCACTAGGCCGGGCCGGCCCGAAGCCCGACACGGCCTGTCCAGAGCACGACACGGTACTGTGCATGTGGGCTGTGAGCCGCCTTTATTTGGGAGAAGCACAATAAGGCCCGACACAACAAAGCGTGCTAAAATTAATGCAATTTTGTTTAGACACGCAAGCCCGGCACGATGGCACGTGGGCCTGGACCGTGCACGGGCCAACCTTTTGAAAACTTCAGTCTGACAAGAAACTTGTGGGCCGAGCCTAACTAACCCTAAAGCAGGTGGGCTTGGCACGAGGCATGATCCGACATGACCCAGAGCCATCTTTAGGAGAGAATGTAAGAGAAGAGAGAATGGTGGGTAAGATTGCAAAAAGTTAAGACAATGACACGTTTGGGTGGTGTTTAAGGCTCCACTTCTTGAGGTGTTTAAACTTTCATGGTGTGCAACTGTTAAAGAATTGAAGATGCGCCTATAGTATACGTTAAGAAGGCTTCACACATCACACTCAATTGCTCGTTTATCCTACATTTCAAAATAATGGTTACAATTTTTTAGTCGAGGAATCATGAGCCGAGTTAGATCAACCTTGGCATATAAAGGCCGTTTTGGGCCAACACATGAGCCAAGCTCACGTGCAGTCCAAATATTTTGGGCCAGACAGATCAGGCTTTTAGGCTGGGCTGGAAATTTAACCAATATTTACATTTAGGCTGGCCAATGCCCAATTTTTTTATGAGAAAATGTGCCAAGCTAAAAAATTCTTCCCAAAATATGATATTTTTCAACTCGAGCCAACAGGATAGCAGTGAACAAAAGGGGGCATAATATATGAAAATGAAGGGAAAAAAATGTATAACAATGTAATTAAAAAAAAAAAAAAAGACTTACTCCGTATAATACTCCGTAATAAAGTAAGTTGGGCAAAAGTTTAGAAAGAAACAATAAAATAATGTGGAACACAGATACTAAGATAGTAAAAGTAAGTGTAACCATTATTTTGAAACAGCCAAAATAACAAACCGTAACCATTGTATTAAAATGGGGGTAGTATAATAAAGGGCTGAGAACTTTGAAAGTTAGTAATGTCTAGAACAACTCGAACATTATAAATAAGATATTATTATGGATTGAGCAAAAGTGCAAATCAACCTCACTTTTCCCTTGATGATTCTATCTTTGCAGTTACATAGTCGACAGAATTACAGTAATTCAGGTTACTGTAATCAGAAATGGCGCACATTCAAACTTAAATTTTTTGGAGAGAAATTATGCGTCCACAGTTTTTACTATCATATAAAATGTACATGCAATGCAGAGAATTTCATACATGACATTTTGGAAAAGAATGGTTTCATGGAGTTTTTTTTTATTGTGAGGGAATGAATTAAATTGGCTTCCTGGTGTACCTTATATTCTGAGGGAATGCATTCTAAAAATGCACAATATTCATTCTTGGATAAACTGAATTTCAGCTAGAGGAGAGGCTCGTCGCAGTCTTACTAATTCTACCAGCATATCCACTTTTAACTCTGTAACATATACACAGGGCACTATACTCATCTTTTCAAGAGCTGGAGAGTTCCCCAGTAAAATTTTTATCAATTCCATCTCATGAGGCACTCCATACATATCTGTCATCTTCACGGTTTTCAACTGTTTGAATGTGCAATCTGGAGGACATTCTGCCTCCCAAAAGTCTAAGTTAGGTGCTTCCAGTATGACATTTGTGTTTGAAGAACCCTAAGCACAAAACAGGAGTAGAATACACAAATTCAACACACATAACAGAAATCATAAGTGCAGATTAATTCTAAACTAATGCACTTCATCATGACTTACAGAGATCTGAAGCTCCTGCAAGTTTGGGGAGTTTGTAATCAGGCGAAGAACAACCAGTAACTCTTTCATGTCCTCAAAACTTACTTGGTTTAATTCAATGATCTTTAGATGGCTGTAAGTCAGTGATGGTGTCCACTGCTCAATGCCTATGCTTAAATACTGGAAAAAAAAAATACATACAGAGCAAAATAAGGATGCAGCATAGCCATACTCCTGAGGTATATAAGGTCATATACTTATGTTACCTTTGTAAAGTAGACATGTCCGGCTAGCCTTTTGAGATTGGGCACACCACCAAGAAACTGGACGAAATTGCAACCTGAAAGTTGCTCAAAATGCTCCTGAATTTCATCTGTGTTCATATACAAAGAGATAGAGACTTCTTCCAGCATTGGGGTATTTTCGAGGCATAAATCTTTGAATTCGCCTTCTAGGTGCAAGTACTTAAGATTAGAGGCATTGACATTCAAGTCCAAACCATCATAGTATGACAATGTTAAACTCTCAAGTAGAGGACAATTAGTAATTAGGCTTTCAATTGCTTCAGGTGTCACCAAAACTTGATTGAGTGTCAAGGTACGCAAGCATATAAACCCTCTAAACCCAGGCGGAGGATCCAATTCACATCGACAAAGCTCCAAAAGAGTCAATTTCTTGAAAGAAAACAGACAAGTTGGCACCCTGAACCACTCACCATCACTCAATTCAAGGGTGAGCTCCCTAACATCATTCCTCGAGAGGAAAAGTAGCCACTGATCAATATCAGGGCAACTTTGCAAGATCGAAGTACAAATCTTAAACTTATGAATGGGGCCTTTGTGGAGAAAAAGGGCATGGGTAATAAACTTTATAAGCTTGTTTTCGACAGCCGACTTGTCCGGCACAGAACTGACACATTTGTCACAGAAAGTAAGCTGTGGAAGGCTTGCCCATCTATACCTCCATTTAGTTGACAATGTGCTCATTCTAATAGCATCTCTTATAGGCAGTAAGCTAAGAATAATCTCAATTATGCTAAGTGGCAGATCACTAAGTAAATCTGGAGCTGTTTCATCATCCATTTATCACACAAATTCAACAATAGACAAGATGACCTATCACAAATACATTAAGAAAAATTTAGCAGAAATCAAGTACTTATGATCATAAAAATCAAAGGAAACATGTGAAAATCACTAGTTGGGGGTCAAAAAGTAATCTTGACAAAAACCCTTGTCACCAAATTGAAGAAAACCCCAATAACAATTAAAAAAAAGCTAAAAATTCAAAATTGGGCCATAGAATTCAATTAAAAATGAAATTAAATAAAAATTGCCAATTCAATTATTTTTGTAATTCGGAATTAAATCCCAGAAACCCAATTAGAAATTTAGAATATTTTGACATATTTCACATCCTTATATATGTAAAATTCGACCCATTAATTGATTTAAAATACCCAGATTAATATTCTAAATCCGATGACATAGAATGCAGCAAACGAACATTCAAATCATAAAGCATATAACCCAACAAACTCTAATCAATTAAATCAAATAGCAAAATAGGAGAAATAGATACAAACCCAAATCAACGAAGTAAGAACTCACCGAAAAACAACTGGGTGAGATAATGGAAATCGAAATGAATGAGTTGGTGCGTTTTTGCAGAAATTCGTCGAAAAGGCAATGCAAGAAAAAAATGGATGATTGTGTAAAAAAAAACAAAAAGAAAAAAATGGATGATGGTTTGAGAAACTTTGATGAGTTGAAACTTGAAACCGTATCGGTGGAAGGTGGCGTTATGTAGGAAGAAGTTGAAGTTCCCCCTAACCAAATCAAATTGAGAAGTTTTTGACCTTAGCTAAACTCCAAATGTTTTAAAGTACTTGTTTTTAGAGGGGTCAATTTGGCCATTTGGGTACTTGTTCGAATTTTGTAATGTTAGGTTGAGTCAATTTTAAAATTAGAGTTCTTCTAAATTATTGTGTTTATAAGAGCTAAATTTTGATTTGAATTTTTTTATTTGGTCAGATCATATTGAGTCGATCGAGTCAGATTTTAACACATCTGCTCTTTTTTGGTCTTTTTTTCCTTTTAATTTATTACGCTTGGTTGCGTGGTATTAGAGCAAAATTAGTGCAAAGTCGTGGTCTTAAATTCTGGATTTTGCTGACATAGAGCAAAATTAGGGCAAAATTGCGGTCTTAAAATCTGAATTTTGCTGACATAGAATGAAGTGTCAAATATCTTACCAAGTTTTAACATCCAAAAGAACTTGTTGTATTGAAGTGAGTAGGTCTTAGGGGAATCAAGTCTTGAATAAGCAATACTACACTCAAGTTAAGCTCAATTAGTGTGTTGATACTATTGATAATAAAAACCTTAAGAAAATAAAAAATTGAGAGATCTTAAATGAATATATGGGGGCGACGTAGTGGTGTCAATTTGGTCTTCAGATGGAGTTTATGTTAGGTGATGTAGTGGATACCTTATGAATAATTAAGGTTACTCGTATTGTTTCATTTGTTTAAATAAATTATAACCTTCAACAAATGTCTATAATTTTGTCATTTTTACATAATAAAACTCGTTTTAAAAAAGTAGTTTAAAATAAGATCCAATTACGATACTTCGTATATTTTAACCGATTAAAAATATTCACTATCTTTTTAGTTTGTAGATCCCAAAACTATTAAGTAATTTTAAGAACAATGTTGATTCATTATTATATTACAAATTAGATTAGTGCGGTAGTGACAATTTTTTTTTCCCCCGATAATTTTGTGATATTATATAAACATGAGACAATGAACTCATTCACGTAGAATAAACAATTGCAGTGTGTATAAGAAAAATGAAATAATAAAAGAGAAATTATTAAAACTAAAATTGAGAAAAAAAAATTATACGGAGTAGTTGATTAGTTGTGTTGTAAATATATAAAAGTTGTACACATTGTATTACATAATGACTCACGTTTTTCCAATAAAATTGTACAATGTACTTCTAAAAAATAAGTTGTAGAATAAAAAAAAAATTTAAAAACCATAAAGTTAACATCATATATTGTTTTGGCAGGAAATTTTTAATGATAACTTGATATGTGTCCAAAGTGATGTAAGCATAACCTGTTTTAATAATTGTTAATAGATTTGAAAGAATAACATATGATGTATTATGCTATTTATAGATATGATATACAGAGTGGTATTTATAAGATATAAAGTAATATAAACGGAATTTTTTTTATTATATATATATGGAAAGTATGTGAATCAAAATTATTACAATTATATGTCTTATATGATTTGCTGAATATTTTGTGTATAATATTATAATATGTGACCTTGACTAAAAAGAGAAAAATAGGAAAGAAAAAAAAGTGTGATTGTGGAGGAAAAAAACAACACCAGGAAATGACATGTGACATTTCCGGTGTCTGTTTTAGTAATATATATATATTGATATATTTATTAATTGATCATTAAGGATAAAGTATATAAATCAATCTTACACTACTAGAAAACTGCTAATCAACGACGGAAATTATCCCTCGGAATACCCTGAAATTCCGTCGAAAATGACGGTTTCCGACAAAATTCCGTCGGAAGGCACTGTCGCATTACATTTTGTAGGAATTTGGCTATATTCCGAGGGAATTTCCGTCAGAAAGGTCCATACCGACGGAACTTCCGACGGATTTATTTCTGTCGGTGCTTTTTTTTACTTTTATTGAAATTCCGTCGCAGTTTTCCGACGGAAATTTCCGTCAGAAAAGTCAATAAAAAAAAAATAGCCCCACCCAGACCTACCCCGCCACCAGCCCACACCACCCACCACCACCACGTCCAACCCATTTTCCCACCCCACACCACCCACACCCTAAAAACCAGCCCCACCTACCCCTACCCCTACCCATTGCCCACAACCTACACCCACCTACCCCTACCCATTGCCCACAACCCACACCCACCTACCCCTAACCCCACCGCCACCCTGTAACCCACCATCCCCATCCCACCACCACCGACACCCACAAGAATCGCAAAAAAAAACTGAATTAACCCAAAAAAATAAAAAAAAACCGAATTTACCCAAATAAACGCAAAAAAAAAAAAAAAAAAAAAACCAAATTAATCCCACAAAACTGAAAATTAACCTCAAACATACGAAAATTACCGAAGCAAAATTATATTAACACAATATAATTAAAAAATACCGAAAATTCAAAAAACCGAAAATTAAACAACGAAATCAAAAGAAATATATAATTACACAATTACAATTACATACAAAATTAACTACATCTACACTCAAACCTAAATTAAAAGATCTACAAAAACAAAAACCTTGAAACACGTGGCTGGCGACGGTGGTTGTTGAGGTTGATGTTGATTGTTGTTGTTGACGGTGACGTGCGGCCGACTACCGTTGATGTTGATTGTTGTTGTTGACGGTACGTGCGGCCGACCGTTGATGTTGATTGTTGTTGTTGACGGTGGCTGGACGACCAGCCGTTGATTGTTGTTGTTGTTGTAGAAGAGAAGAGGATAGGAGAGAGAAAGAGAATGAAGAAGAAGAGGAGATCAGAGAGGAAGAGGAAGAGAAGAGGAAAGAGGAGAGAGAAAGGGAAAAGAGGAGAGGAGAGAGAAAGGGAAGAGAGGCGGAAGAAAGAAGAGAGAAAAGAGAATGAAAGGGGAGGGGGATTAGGGTTCTGGGTTTTTCGTTTAATCCGTAGGAAGTTTAATGTTCCGACGGAATAGTCCGTCGGAAGCTTCCGACGGATTTTATTTCCGTTGGAAGTTTAATGTTCCGACAGAATATTCCGTCGAAAAGCTTATATTTTCCTATGGATTTATTTTCCGTCCGAAATTTCCTACAGTACGGAAAAATAATCCGTCGGAAATTCTGTTTTTTCCGACGGAAATACGTGTCCATCGGAAGATGTCCGTCGGTATTCGGCCTATTTCTAGTAGTGTTAGTTTTTAACCGTTAGCTTAGGGTTTGTTTGACATCACTGTGGTTTTCTGTTTTTTGTTTTTCAAAATCATATGATATATGTCATATAATGAATAAAAAATTAGTCAAATTTATTAACCTCATGATAATTTTGAAAACAGACAATAGAAAAGTAAGTAGAAACACCTTTTTCTTGTTTCTTGTTTTTGGTTTTCAAATAAATAGAAAACTCAAAACAAAAAACGATGCCAAACAAGCCCTTAACTATTTAATTGAGTTGATTCTCTAATATGATATCAAGAGGTAGCTTAGAGTGACAAGAAGGTCACGAGTTTGAATCTTATCCACTATTCCTTTCGAGTGTAAATTTAGCATGCATTGGGTATGGTAATTCCAAGCTGCATCATTTCAGAGGCGTGAAAGTATATAATCTTGTATTAATGATTGTGTTAACACTTGACAATCGAGCCAAAAACTTATAAAGTAATCCCTCAGTTTCATAATTTCGTGCCTATTTTTCAAGAAATACGGTAATTAAGGAGAATGGTGGAAGTAGGGGAATATTTTATTGGAAAGATAAAAAATAGAGAATAATGTATGAGATTAATAAAAAGTAAAGAATATTATTATATGAAAAAGAGAAAAAGTAAGTAATGATTTTTTTGGTATATGTGTATTTTTGTATGGGAAAGATAAAAAATAAGTAATGATTTTGTGCTATTTTTAGAAACAGGCACAACATTTTGGGACACCCAACCAAAAAGGAATAAAGGCACGAAATTATGGGACGGAGGGAGTATATAAATCTTGTATTAATGATTGTGTTAACATTTGACAATCTAGCCAAAAACTTTATCTTTATAATTTCATTTAACAGCAGAAGGTATCGCCAGAGCAGAATTATTAGTATAGCTTTTTGAAATTTTCAATTCCGTAAAAATAAGGGGAGTAACTTTTATTACGGGGACTCGGTAAGTGTAAAAGGGGTTACTCTGTTTTAGTTATGTGGGTTACTAAAGGAGAAGTAATATAGGAGTTATTCGGTTAGTGTTGTAGGGCCAGGGTTACTTTGTGATTTAAGGGTTAGTACTCAATAGGTATAATTAGGGGTTATTTTATCAGTATAATTGGGGTTACTCCGTTTTTTCACAAGTGGCTATACGATGTGACCAACCGCATACAATACGCGCTGTATTCAGATAGATTTTAGAGTGCTATATATGAAACAACCAATTTTTGTAAAAAAAAAAAAAACATAACAATTTCTTTCACAAAAAAAAAAGGGAAACATTGAAATAACTCTTCATTTATTTATTTATTTATTTTGGCTGTATCATGCTAGCAATAGAAACGAGATAGGAATATGAAGTCAGTCTTATTCCATGATAGCAATAGAAACGAGATAGGTTATATGAAGTTAGTCTTATTCATAAGTATCATATCTTGACCAAGATGCCTCCTTATTTTGGGATTCCCAGCAGTTTCTTCAAGTCCTTCTGCAAAACGAAAAATGATTAAATTACCCATTGTTTCTTGGTATCATAACGAGTGAAGCTTATGTTTTTACCTCGACGATCTTTAGGGGAGTAAATGGTGAGTAGCGTTCAACAACATTACCATATTTATCAACGAGAAACTTGGTAAAATTCTACTTTATTCCATCTCCCAAAAACCCACTTTTGGTTGATTTCAAGTACTTAAAAATTGGGGCAGCATTACTACCATTCACTTCAATCTGGGAAAAAAAAATACAAGGCAAAATGTTTAAGAAATCTAGTCATAAAAGCTAACAGCCAACAACTACAGCTACTAATAGTTTTGTCAAACAGACCCTAATACAGCGATTAACCATATGTATTGCTACAAAATCTACATTTACCACATTCCCAATTGGGAAGGGCTACTT